GAAAATACATGGTTAACATTGCTTGTGTTGTCAGTTGTAATTGTCATTTGGTTAAATACACAGTTTGTTGCTATCGTCACACGGGCTATTTATTTATTTTTATTTTGTAACCATGTCTTTTTTAATAACTATTTTAATTTAACTAAACTACTATTAAATAAGCTACTATACTTATTTATCATTTATATTTACAACATAAAGATATTTCAGCTTTCAGTCATTTGACAGATCAATTGATACACAATCTATTAACACAAAGTCTATTAATACACATTTGGTAGAAACAATTCTATCTAACGACATTTAATTGTCGTTCTGCATCGATAGCCTAAGAAACAAGGTTTTCATCCGAAAATATGTTGTAATCTCAACAAGTTTAGTGAAAATAACTTTTTATTTTGTGCGTGGGTATAAATTAAACAATTTCAGGTTAGGATTTAATACGAAAATGCAATTTTAACATTGCTTTGAACTTCCAAAAAGAAACGTCAAATCGCAACTTTAAAGTGATTTTTCGGTAAGTACTACACTTTTCCGCACTTTTTTTTTATCATTAACACATCTTTTGAGTCATTTCCTACCGATTAAAAAAAAAATCATCGATTTTTAAGTGGGACAGGTATTCTTTAATTATTCCACTATGAATTAGTTCGCCCTATTTTGGAGCAAATCCCCCACCACTTTTGTACGCTCGTTTTATCTCCTTATATTGCTTCGTGGTTGAAGGGAAAGTTTCTTTTGACTGCAGCGCCACCAATGCAAAATAACAATACTTAAGAACTCTAACAACAACTTTTTACAAAATTAAAATACCTCAAGCCATTCCAGAGATGCTTGGCCTTCAGCATCTTTTTTATTTTTTAGTAATAATTTTGATTACTGCTGATCTGTTATTTACTTTAAATTTTAATTGTCAATAATATATTTCATATTTATGTTAGTTATTTTTTTATTGATTTAGGGTGAAGTTTCATATATTCGTGTAAAAGAAGACAGAGGGGGTTCCGATCGACGTTCTGGAGGTCGTTCTCGTAGCAGATCTTACTCGCCGAGACGTCGCGGATCCCCAACGTACAGCCCCGTTAAGCGGAGTTATTCAAGAAGCCGTTCCCGTTCGTAAAAAAATTAAATTCTGCCCATGAATTAGAAGACGGAGAGAGTTAAGAAGGGAGATCGGTAAGTGTTCTTTTTCGGTTCTTATTTGATTAATTTTTTTTTTGTTTAAAATATCAAAATCAAGATTTTGACATGGAGAAAAAAAAATTTTTTTTGTACAAAAACCCTGCTAGACATCACGTCTTAGTTTTTTAGTTTTGTTACGATATGTTTCAGGATGTCGTCGCCTAAACTCTCTCACTCTATCTCTCTCTCTCTCCGGTGTGTGTTGTTAGCGGGGGCAAGTTATCAAACGAAATTTTATGTAAATGAACTAATAATTAATTCCGGTAGAAATACACTTTACACAGGATGAAACAACAAAACACACACACACTCGTTATTATTTTTCCGATTTGATTTTTGATGTCTCGCGTTTAATAATTTTTTACGATTGTTCTGTTTTTTTTTTTTTGGTTAATTTTTCTTAATTTTCTCTTCCATTTTTTCCATTTTTTATGTTTATAATGTGGACCGATAACCTATAACTAACGCAGGATCTAAAATTATTTAAAAAATGTTGAATAAAATTGGAATTATTTTAGATCTCGCGAGTAATGATGTTTAATTATAAATATAATAAAATGATTAGTTTGTAAGTTATAGGGTACTAACGATGATTTGATGACTAATTTGTAATTGTTTTCTTTCTGTTGCCGATCCGGCCGGATTTTTGGTCGAAACGAGCGTTTAAAATAAAGGATACACATAAAAAAATTAATAAAAACCCGACTGTAAGCGTTTCTTTACTCTTGAACTGAAATAAACTGAGCTAAACTGAAATAAACTGACCGAAAGAAAGAAAGATTTATCTTATCGTATTGATAAAGAGGAATTTAAAAAATTATAAAAATAAAAAGCGGATGATGAGGATGATGATGTGTGGAAAAAGGAGGAAAGGATAGGAAAAAGAAAGGATAGGAGTGTTCTTGAATTTATCTTGATTTGTAAAGCTAAAAGTAATCTGTTTAAAACGGGAGACGCGAAGTAGGGCAGAATAGGAGGGAGAGGATCTTAAAACGGAAGAGGAGATGTAAAGGGAGAGCACAATGAAACGAAAAAGGGACTTTTTGCGGTATTTAGACTGTTTTTGTTTGCTGATTTTTTTTTCATTTCCTTATTACCTTTTTTTTTGAAATTTTCTTTGTTTGAATGATTTGTTAGCACGACCTAATCCTTTATTAGTAATCTAATTGAACACGTTCGCTACGGCTTCGACGCCAAGTTTTATCTTAAATCAAGTGTGCACATCAAAATTGGCTTGACGTTTGTTCATGCTTTAATTTGTTAGGTTTTTAAAATAAATGAGTGAAAGTGGAATTTCTCTATTTTTCCTGTTCACATAATATATTTCCAATCAGTTTTCTAAATTATCGAACGTGCATATTAATTGCAAGCACTCTTGTATAATGTAATTCAGAGTATTCATGGACAATTTATTTTGAAAATTTTGTTAACACCAAGGACAGTAGAATCTAACAGGACTGCTACATCCATTGTTGTGACAACCTGCCCGCAAACTACGTCACACCATTTTCCACGCCCAGCTGTTGTTATGGTCTATGCGTNTCCCTTGAAAAATCCTGCATTTGTTTGTTAACAAAATGCGTTCCATTGTCAGATATAACTAATTCAGGAACTCCATATCGACTAAATGTTTCTTTCATTCTAGTTATAACTGATTTTGGACTTAAGTCTTTTAAAAAATATATTTCGAAGTAGTCAGAATAATGATCTACTATGACTAAAACTTTTAATGATTTTTCTTGATATTTGACGAAACATATGTCCATAGAAATTATTTGAAAAGGATATTCTGGAATTTGGTGTGACATCATTGGTAATTTTTTTTGTTCTTTTGCATATTTTCTGCAAGCTTCACATTCTCTTATTGCGTTTATTATGGATTGAGTCATACCAGGCCAGAACACGTTTTGTTTCGCTAATTTTAAACTATTCTCCACTCCGCTGTGTCCTATGTGTAATTTTCCTGTAATTAGTTTTCTTAACGTTTGAGGTATTAACACTCTGTCTTGATAAAATATTAAACCGTCTTGGTAAGCTAAATTGTCTTTAAATTTAAAATAAATTTTTATTTCATCCGGTATGTCTTTTATATATTTTGGCCAACCCTCTACAATGAATTGTTTCACTTTTTGTAAACACTGATCTTTTTCCATTTCAATTTTTATGCTGTTAAGTCTTTCGTCTGTAAAATGAACTCGTTACATGTTCATATGCTGTACCTTTAACTTCATATACAGGTGTCTCAGCGAGACCGGTCACTAGACGTTTCTGTGGTTCTGGCAAAAATAAAAAAATGAGAATTCAGACTTAAGTATTATCAATTACGTTCTCTTCGTCTAAAATATTTTCAGATTTCTAGCACTTCCGGTTATACCAGAAGTCGCCACCTACTTTATTTTTTTAAATGGAACACCCCCTGTATATTTTTACATATTTGGATTTACCTGTTTTGAAGGTTTATAAATAACTTTACTTTTTGCAATTTGATTCGGCCGTTCTCGAGTTATTCGATTTTTTCTAGAAAAATCTGCTCGAGCGGACATTTGTTCAAAAAATCATAGAACACTCGATTTTTAAGATATCAATTTAGGATTTAGAACATACTTAAACAACATGATGGAGTATGTTTTGGTGCCAAGAACGGCTGTCTAGATCGTTTGGTCACTTTACTATGACACGTTAACTTTTCGAAATTTGGAACTTCATTTTTTTAAATGGCAACCCTAATTTGGGGGTTGCTTTTCAAGTATTATGTAAGCTATGGGTCGTCTCTGTGCAAACTTTGGGAATATTTGGCCGGACTCGAGTGTAATTTCGAAAAATTATTTTTATTGTATCTGCCCAAATTTTCGAAATGACTGAAATAATTGAAAAATGGTGCACTCTAGACATATGATGACTTTATCAAATTGTATTAAAATTTGGCGGGGACCTCGAAAATTCAATAAAAATTGTTAAAATAACGAAGTTAGGGTCCATTTCCGGTATAACCGCAAGTTGGAGAAATTTGAAAATATTTGAGCTGAAACGAGAACTTCGGGTAAACCCATATGCAAATTTTCACAAAAATAGTGCCAGTAGTTTGCCATATACATACAGAGTGTATCTGAATGACATGCCCAAACTTCAGGGGGTGATTCTTTAGGCAATTTTAAGGGTACTTTGATATATAAACCATAGGCGACTTGGGCTCCCCTAAGGAGCTACACCCCTCCAAAATGGCGGAAAATTTTGGTTTAATTTTTTTTTCTTAAAAACCATATACGCTAGGAAAACGAAATTTGGGAAATATGTTTAACTGGTAGTAGGGCACGTTTTCACCCTATTTGTACTTTCAACCTATCCTTCTAAACTACTAAACGTAACCGCCCCCTTTACATTTTTGCNGTTTGTCACGTTCTTTAGCGCTTGCGCATAACAGCGCATAACTCATTTCCAATTGTGCAGCCGGTCTGTTTGTATCTCTTATGGGTATCTTTACCATCAAGCGTGTCTGTCACGACGAGCTGAGTCTATATCTATGTGGCAAACTACTGGCACTATTTCTCTGAAAATTTGTATATAGTTTCAGCTAAAATATTTTCAGTTTTCTCCAATTTTTATAGAATTTTTGAGATCCACACTAAATTTTAATACAATTTGGTACAAGTCATCATATGACTAGAGTGCACAATTTATGAATTAATTCAGGTTTTTCGAAAATTATGGCAGATGCAACCCTTCATAATAAAAGTAATTTTTCGAAATTACAGGAGTCCGGCCAAATATTCTCAGGGTTTGCACAGAGATGGCCCATAGGTTACATAACCCTTTAAAAGTTTTTTAAAAAATTACACAGAGTTGTCAGAAATTTGCCCCGAATTTCCGGAATTTCCGAATTTTCGAAAATTTCATCTTTTTAAATGGCAACCCCAATTTGAGGTTGCTTTTCAAGTATTATGTAAGCTGTGGGTCGTCTCTGTGCAAACTTTGAGAATATTTGGCCGGACTCGACTGTAATTTCGAAAAATTATATTTATTGTGAAGGGTTGCATCTGCCAAAATTTTCGAAAAGACTGAAATTATTGAAAAATGACATGAAAGACATATATCAAGTATTATTAAAATTTGGCGGGGATCTTGAAAATTCAATAAAAGTTGTTAAAATAACGAAGTTAGGGTCCATTTCCGGTATAACCGGAAGTTGGAGAAATCTGAAAATATTTGAGCTGAAACGAGAACTTCGGGTAAACCCATATGCAAATTTTCACAAAAATAGTGCAGGTAGTTTGCCATATACATATAGACTCAGCTCGTCGTGACAGACCCTGTACAGGGTGTCTAAATTTGGATGGGTTTGTAGTGTATCTCAGTTATTATGAAAGATGCAGAAAGTTGCGGCTTTCGCGAACCTAAACTACTTTTTTTGGGACATTTACAATGGCGCAAACCAAATTTTCATATCCCTCTTCGTTTTTGATATACAGGGAGTGTTTCAAAATTTACGATTTTCAAACACCTCCTGTATCTCGGCTATCCGGAAACTTAGTAGAAAAGTAAAAACGGATTCTAATAGATTTTTTCACGTAGAATCCAATGGTGCACGTAGAATTTTTCTAGTCGTCACGGTTTTTGAGTTACTAAGAATTAAGTATTTTAGAAGTTGAGTATACAGTATTTGAGTTGTCTCAAAAACCGTGATGACTAGAAAAATTCTACGTGCACCATTGGATTCCACGTGAAAAAATCTAATAGAACCCGTTTTTACTTTTCTACTAAGTTTCCGGATAGCCGAGATACAGGAGGTGTCTGAAAATCGTAAATATCAAACACTCATCAAAAACAAAGAGGGCTATGAAAATTTGGTTTGCGCCATTGTAAGTTTCACAAAACTAGTAGTTCAGGTTCGCGAAAGCCGCAACTTTCTATCTTTCATAATAACTGAGATACCCTGCAAACCCATCGAAATTTGGACACCTGTACATTTGGATTTGGATTATTCTCTACTCTTTTACATGTTTCTGGTGTTTTGTTTAACAAATTTTNCATTTAAAAAAATTAAGTAGGTGGCGACTTCCGGTATAACCGGAAGTGCAAGAAATCTGAAAATATTTTAGTCGAAGAGATCGTAATTGATAATACTTCTTCTAAAGTCTGAATTCTCAAATTTTTATTTTCGCCAGAACCCCAGAAACGTCTAATGACCGGTCTCGCTGAGACACCCTGTATATTAAATCTATTCATTTCTTGTTCAAAATCTTTGTCTTTGTAATTTATAGTTGCTCTTGATAAAGCGTCAGCCACAACATTTTCTTTTCCTTGAATATATACCAAATGTATATCATACCTTTGCAATATCATTAACATTAGTTGCAGTCTTTTAGGTGCTTTTAAAAGTGGTCACCTTAGGATTTCGTACTAGTAGCTGATCAAATCGTAAACAACCAAAAACCACCGATAGAAGTTCTTTCTCTATCATAGCATAGTTTTTTTCTGCTTNGGTTATTATGGGGTTATTACGCTTTTTTTACATTTGTAATTAATGCTACTTTAGTTCATTATTGTTAAAAAAATGATTAAATGGATTTCGTTTGAAATGGTAAATTGTGGTTGCAGCGCTAACTATCGGCAGGGTTGGATATAAAACGTACATAGAAATTGAAAACCGTTCAAACAGCGTTGACGAAATGTACGCGTACACGAATGTGTCCACGGACGAACATGCGCAGAAAAAAGTCGTGTACGTACACGACGAGTCAAATTTGTGCGGTTGGAACGAACCTATAGAAAAAAAATGAACCTTTTTCTTTTATAATATATGTAGCAGTCCTGTTAGATTCTACTGTCCTTGGTTAACACATTTTTTTATAACCTCACTTTGACGCAATCAATGTACTATTTACTCACACCGCGTATGTTGCTAAGCAACGTTATAACACGTTTACATGCAAAAACGTCAATTAAGTTTAAAATAAATTTTTCATTTAAATTTGAACATAAGCATGATATTGACCGCAGCGAACGTGGTAAATTGATTTTAAAATATCCCACTTAATATAAACCCTAAAAATTAAAAAAGAAAAAAATGATGTATTGATTGATTGAGATGTTGGGTGTTGTTGATTGAGACGATGTCAGAAAATTTACAGAATGCGCTTTATATGCAAAATTGTATAGTTTTAATCGATCATCTGTATTTTATCTGATTGTGATTGATTGATGATGTCTCCTCACGTATAGCGTGCGAATGAATTTTTTTCCTACTCTTTCACATCACCACAACATTAATTACTCATTAAATCAAATAAGTGGTTGATGTGAATGTGGTATTGGCAAAAAAATGTGTGAATGCGTCGCGTTTTATATCTTGATTAATAAAATTTTCTCCAATGCCCAGGTATAAGGATGATAATAAATAAAAAGGATTAAGGATTAAATATTAAAAGGATAAGGATTAAGGATAGTGATCAGGATGAGATGAGGATTAGGGATTTCTTCTCATAGGAAAAACGCGGGACGGGACTCTTCTTCTAGAATTCGTGACGAGCGCTTACAAATCTTCTCTTCTTTAAAAATACAAAACAAAAACAATAAAAAATAAAATCGTTTTGGACAGGAGACAGAGAGAGAGACACGCTTTTTGGACGATTCCTTTTTGGATTCTTGTTGCGCTCCGTTGACGACCGAACTCCCTTCTCTCCTCCCTACTCGCTCCATTTGCCGGATCAGCCGGATTAAGTCGGATCCCGAAAGGTATTTTAAAACAAATAAAAATTAATTAATTAAAAAAAAAGAATATATAAGAAACTCACTTTTGAATGATTTTCAATATTTTTCTTATAGTTTGATTTTTTTTAATTTGCTTGCCGATTTTTTTATTAACCGACCGTATTTTTCTTTAAAACTTAAGCCTATATAGTTTGTGTGCATGGATGTTGCTTTCTAAAATTTTAAAGGTTACATTTAACGGAAATAAAGAAGATGGAAAAAACATTTTTAATATTAGTTTTGTAGATCAATACAATAAAGACTATTGCGGTACATTTATTTGAATCGTTTTATTAAATATATCTTTTATCACCTCTAGATAAAGTGATTGCTAACTTTATCTAACCGATAGTAGTTTATATATATTCCTAACAGTGATTTAAACGGTGGGAGGCGTGATAACGTACGTAACGTATAGCATTTTTGTCCTTCGGAGGGGACCTTAAACATCTCTGGTGTCGTCAGTAGTAGTAGTAGTAGCCACCTTTCCTCCTAAAATGGGGTTGACCTTGTGATTAACACAGCCTGTGTCCTTTTTCGTAACATTGTTACAAAACCTCTAGAAATTTCTAGAGGAGGTCAATGTTCAAAAATTGGGCTGTTCGTCACGGATGATTATAATGATTTAAACGGTGTTATATTATTTTGTTAAAGAAAACTGTTACCATAACGAAATTATACACTGGTTTTAAACCAGGAGGAGTAAACGCGAAAGTCAGATTTACACTAGGAAAAATCACCAGAAAATATCACTAGATATTTTGGCGGTAAATTTAAATTGATAATTATTATTATTTATTTTTTTACTTATTATTGTATTTATTTTCGTTTGTTATCGTCAACACTAAACATACAAATTAACATTGAAGTTAAGAGTGTATTTATTTCAAAATATAATAAAGAAGGGTTTAAGAACACAAAATTTACAATAATGACACGAAACTGTCGAATTGTCAATAACCTAACCTTCAAATTCAAAATTGCCTGTGTGTGAACCTTCCTCGCATTCAACCAATCACGTGCAAGGTCAATCTGGTGACAAATTTCAAATACTCCTCCTGGTTTAAAAACAGAGTATAGAACGATTTGAAATTGATGAAGATTTGGAGGAAATTAATAATTCGATTTGATTCAATCACTAGGTAACGTTATTATAGGTACAGGTGTCCCAATTTCGATGTCCGCATAGGCTATTTCCGAAACTAAAAGAGATAGAAAAAAAGTAGCTTACATGTCATGATATCGTTTTTCGAGAAAATGTTAATGCCGAAAACTCCGAACAGTTATCGTCTTTTGTTTTCGCCCTATCGGCAAAAACTGAAAATTTTGCGAAAACGACAATCGCGAATATCTCACTTATTATCAAAGATGGAGTATTATAAATAAAACATTATATGGGCAACTTTTTACGAAGAATTCAGTGGCGTAGGTAGAATTTTTTTCCCATCTTTTATTTTCGAGATTTTAGACGTAACTTTATTTTTTTAAATGGAAACCATAGTTGGCTATGACTTAAAATAATTTGTTATTTTCTTCTGATAACAAATATATATAGTTTGTGGGGTATATTTCTTATAGTTATTGAATAATTAACAAAAATTCATTTTGTTCTATCTAAAACTAATGTATGTATTTAAAAGTTAATGTTGCTATGGTGATAACCATACATACTATGATGGAACATAATGTATCAAATAATTGCCAAAGTTTGTATTTAAAAATTCGATAACAACTCTGGCATTATGTGCTGGTACGATGCACCAGCATGTTAAGTGTCAAAGTATAACAAAACTGAATAAAACTTTACAATGAATTTCGAAAATTATGAAAAATGTAACATGATGGAATGCTATATGTTATCAGATAAGAATGCGACGTTAGCCGCGGAATTTTATTTCACAAGATATCCAGAAAGAAGACAACCGCACGTAAGAACCTTCAGCCGGTTAGCAGAAAATTTAATAGATATTTGGTCCTTCCCCAAACCACATACAAAAACATACCAAAATGACCTGCAAGAGAAATTGCAACAAGACGTCTGACCCAAAAGCCGCTGCTCCCGAATATGAAAGAAAAATAAGTATAAACCATACAAAGCGGGGCTAACTCATTATTTACGTGCCGGAGATGTCAATCGAAGATTAGAATTTTGTAGATGATATTTAAAAAAATTAAATAATCTGCTGTTTGTTCAAAATGTTATCTGGACCGATGAAGTCTCTGAGTGTTCAAAGAAGATTGGGGTTCAATGTATGGTGTGCCCTTTTAGATAATAGAATTTTGGCATATAGTATCTACCATAAAAACTTAAACTCAGGGAAATACCTCAATATATTAAGGCAGCACATTGAGCCTTTGGTCGACAATTTGCCACTAAATATGTCTCAAATGATATATTTTCAATATGACGGAGCACCAGCACATAATGCCAGAGTTGTTAGTGAATTTTTAAATACTACTACAAACTCAAGGACAGTAGAATCTAACAGGACTGCTACATCCATTGTTGTGACAGCCTACCCGCAAACTACGTCACACCATTTTCCACGCCTAGCTGTTGTTATGGTCTATGCGTTTGCTGTGTGTTTTTAGAGGTTATATCCTAGACGTATTCATATTAGTTTTGAAGTTTTATGTTTTTAGACGTATTAATGTCTATCATATAACCTCTAAAAACATAGACAGTTACCAGGCGTGGCAAATAGTGTGACGTAGAGTGCGGGCAACCAACCCGTAGTCGACTACAAAAATACAATGGATGTAGCAGTCCTGTTAGATTCTACTGTCCTTGAGTTTGTAGTAGTATTTAAAAATTCACTAACAACTCTGGCATTATGTGCTGGTGCTCCGTCATATTGAAAATATATCATTTGAGACATATTTAGTGGCAAATTGTCGACCAAAGGCTCAATGTGCTGCCTTAATATATTGAGGTATTTACCTGAGTTTAAGTTTTTATGGTAGATACTATATGCCAAAATTCTATTATCTAAAAGGGCACACCATACATTGAACCCCAATCTTCTTTGAACACTCAGAGACTTCATCGGTCCAGATGACATTTTGAACAAACAGCAGATTATTTAATTTTTCTAAATATCATCTACAAAATTCTAATCTTATTGTTAGATTGACATCTTCGGCACGTAAATAATGAGTAAGCCCCGCTTTGTATGGTTTATACTTATTTTTCTTTCATATTCGGGAGCAGCGGCTGTTGGGTCAGACGTCTTGTTTAATTTCTCTGCAAGATGTTGAAGGATTTATCGCAATTGAAGCCAACACTTCATCCTCTTGCAGGTCATTTTGGTATGTTTTTGCACGTGGTTTGGGGAAGGACCAAAAATCTATTAAATTTTCTGCTAATCGGCTGGAGGTTCTTATGTGCGGTTGTCTTTTTTCCGGACACTTGTGAAATATAATTCCGCGGTTAACGTGGTATTCTTATCTGATAACATATAGCGTTCCATTATGTTACATTTTTCATAATTTTCGAAATTCATTGTAAAGTTTTATTCAGTTTTGTTATACTTTCACACTTAACATGCTAGTGCTTCGTACCAGCACATAATGTCAGAGTTTTTATCAAATTTTTAAATATAAACTTTGGCAATTATTTGATACATTATGTTCCATCATAGTATGTATGGTTATCACCATAGCAACATTAACTTTTAAATACATACATTAGTTTTAGATCAAACAAAATGAATTTTTGTTAATTACTCAATAACTATAAGAAATATACCCCACAAACTATAGATATTTGTTATCAGAAGAAAATAACAAATTATTTTAGGTCATAGCCAACTATGGTTTCCATTTAAAAAAATAAAGTTACGTCTAAAATCTCGAAAATAAAAGATAGGAAAAAAATTCTACCTACGCCACTGAATTCTTCGTAAAAAGTTGCCCATATAATGTTTTATTTATAATACTCCATCTTTGATAATAAGTGAGATATTCGCGATTGTCGTTTTCGCAAAATTTTCAGTTTTTGCCGATAGGGCGATAGCTGTTCGGAGTTTTCGGCATTAGCATTTTCTCGAAAAACGAGATCATGACATGTAAGCTACTTTTTTAGGTAGCTTTTTTTTAGGTATTTTCAAAACATTGCTTTTATGTTTCCTCAGATTTCTTTGGCGTCCAATAGTTCCTTGTATTCTCCTTTTCTTCTGTACCATCAAATTGTGATGTTGTAGGTTCCTTCGAATGCAATTCCGGCTCCATATACAGTGTGTCCCGTATCTTCCGCATCATTTCGAAAAAATTTTATTAGAAAGATCGCTTCAGAATAATGTATCCTACAACCGTATAATGCTCTGATGCGGAAGATACGGGACACGCTGTATACTTCTACAGCAGTTCAGTCAAAGTTATTACCTATTATTGTTAGAAAACCCCAACAAAGTACACATATCTAGAATCAAGTGTGCATTCTTAGATGATTTATCTTTATTTCGTTTTTCTTTGGCAGGCGTGAAGTTGTTCGGTATTTGTAGTCCGTTCCAGTACACATTGTACCTATCTCTACTTTTTTTTAAATAGTACTTCATGTTTTAATTAATCTATTACTACTTATTGCGCTTACTTAATTCGATAACGTCACAAGTTCTCCCTTCTAAATTAAGCAAGGCGGTTCCATTTATATTCTCAATATTGTATAGATGTGGTGTTAATCGCAGCGCCTCGGCTTAATAAGCCGCCTACACATTCTTTATGATAAGTTAAACCGAAGAGCCGTCATACATATCGTATCGAGTACTATCAAATGTACCGTCTCGGCTGCAAGCGACCTTGGCTTAATTACAAGAAATTACACATCCTTCTTTTTAAGTTAAGCCAAGGTCGCTTACGGCCGAAGCACTGCACTATACTATGTATATTGTTGTTATAACATTATCATCAAAGTCTGTGACCCTCTGTAGCTCTGCAATATATGATAGTTTTTAGGTTTATGTAGTACTACTTGTTTTTGCTATGAGAGAGACATTGTAGTTTGTCTTATTTAAGTGTAAAGGATTTTATTAAAAAAAGGTAAGTAGATTTTTTTTAATTGAAATGTTAAGTGAATTATGGCAATTTTTGCTTTAGTTATAGAAAACTGTAATAGGAGTTTACAAAAGCCTGTAATAACGATTAAAGAAATCTGTAATAAATTATAGAAACCTGTACTAAAACTTTTGGGTTAGGTTTATTCCGATTTGTTATAAATGGGTGTCATTTTTCGAGGCGGCAAATTAGATATTTTCAACGACAAATTATGTGTTGACAGCGACAAAAAAAATATCCAACGGCAATTTATGTTATTGACCGGCAAAATATGTAGCTTCACAGCAAAAAGTGTAAATAAGCAGCAATATATGTATTCTAGCGACAAAAAGTGTAAAAGAGCAGCTAATTAATTCGTACTACTGCGCCATCTTACAGATTTTATTTAAATCTAAAACCCAGCCCAACAAATTTGTATGTTCTTGTCCAGCCTATTTAAAAAATTACAAATGCAAACATGCCCTTGGATTAGAAATTCGAATAAAAAAGGTTTCAGTTCCTGAAGAAGCAAAAAATATTCGTTTAGGACAAAAAAGAAAAAGAGGAAGACCTTCAAAAGCAAAAAAAGCTCTTATTCTTCAGAACTAACTTGTGTTTTATATTGGTTTTAAAGAACTAAATGTTTGATTTGAATGGTTATATATGCATGGTTATAAGTTATAACTAAATGTTTGATTTATAATTTGTTATAATATTTATTTATTATTTATGTTTTCTATTATAATATTTTTTTTATTTTTATTACATACTGTAGTAATTCGGACTGATACGAATATCTGATCCATATCCATTCCAAAAATCTTATTTTCAAAATTTACCCATAATGATAAAGACGTATCTTGTAAAAATAAATTTGAATTATTTTTGGAATAATCTAAGATTGCCAGAAGTTGGTCGCTAGGCATTGTGATAAAAAAAAAATAACAATAAAAAAATTACAGTTGAACGGTAGAAGAAGATTACCTAGAAGCATCGTTTTTTTGTGAACGAGTTCGTTAATGAAAAGCTACTAAAGAAAAAACATAACCCGATACCAAGAGTAAGAAGAAGAAATAACTAAAGTGAATTTGAATTATTAAAAAAAAAGTAGAACTCTAAAAAAATAATTAACCAAGTGAATGGAATTGTTTGGGGATTCGAAGTGAACCTTTAAAACATTAACCTTAGAAACAGTAAACAAAATAAAGAAAAACCCGGAAGAAGAAAATTTAAACGATTGATTGGAATTGACATCTAGTGTGAGAGTGAGGAAACACCGAGAATTTAGCAAATGAGTTAAAGGATTCGGACATTGAAGCCAAGATAGAAAGAGAAAAAAAAAATTAAACAAATTAATTACGATAAGTCTTTGATGTTTTTTTTTAATGTTCACTATCAATTTGAATTTGAAAATTTAATTTAATTTTTTTTTGTCTATTAGATTATTCAATATTTAGTGTATTCAGTCCGATTTAACACAACATCTATTCTTGATACATGATATAAAATTAAACCTTTATTAAGTANAACTTCAATGTTAATTTGTATGTTTAGTGTTGACGATAACAAACGAAAATAAATACAATAATAAGTAAATAAATAAATAATAACAATTATTAATTTAAATTTACCGCCAAAATATCGAGTGATATTTTCTGGTGATTTTTCCTAGTGTAAATCTGACTTTCGCGCATGAATGTTTTACACTTGATGTTATTTTTGTCAAAATAAATAACTAAGTAGATGTTTATTACAAAATAAAGTATAATTGTTTCTTTTGTGTCTAGCGCTACTTGATATTTGGACAAAAATAACATCGAGTGTAAAACATTCATGCGCTACTAGATTAAAATGTGTGCTTTTTGATGGGGAAAGAAATGAATTTTTAAGAAAAACAAAATACTATCGTATAAAGAATGTTTTTAGGACCTCAATAATAAAAAAAAATTTTGGCATACCATTAAAAAAAACATATTATGACCCAAAACATATTACTGCCAAATATTTTGAAAGTAGTACCCATAGTGTGGCTAAAAAAAATAAGGCGCTTACTCTGAATCAGGCTGTATATTCCCCGTTATAAATTGGGACTATAATTAGAAATTATTATTTTTTATGATTTATTAAAGGTAAGTGATGATTTTAATTTTCTAAGATTTTTTTTTTAAATTAAAACAGTGATTTCAATAACTTTCATCAATTTCTATGAATCCTATTCGAAATGGAATCTAATTTTAATGATTTTATCCATATTTAGATTTATAATTAATTTTTCATCATTTTAACACATCTTTATGATTAATGAAGTTTAATATATTAATAAATGATTATATTAGATTTGAGGTGGTTTTAATGGGAAAATAATAACGAAATAAAAGCATTCAAATTAACGGCCATTAAGCACTAAATTATTCATAACCCACTGAAAGAACCCATCAACTTTACTATTCAAGTAGATCTTTACCAGAAATGTTTTATCTAAAACCGAAAAACCTTTTCGCCAACTTCATTTTAACAGTTTTAAATTTAACCTCACACAAACACAAACGATTGTGGTCAATAATCTTTTTAAAACTAATTTTTGTTTTAACTTGTTTAAGCATTTTCGCGGAATTAAAAGAAAACGAGGCAGAAATTTCAAAAACAACCGGTATTTTAAAAAGAATCATATTAAGCTTTTACAACATCCTAATAAACATCGAAATAGATTTTTTACAACGCAACAATTTTAACTTGTTATTAAAAAATTTGAGACATAAAAAACGATTTTTCAATTTAAATTTTAATTGCATCTTTATCCACATCATCTTAATCTTGGAGCTTTTTAACGCGGGCTTTTACCCCTTAATAATCTTCGATACCATTTTAAAGTATCGGTTAAGTTTGGTTTTGTTGTTAATTTTGGGGTTAATTAAACAAATTAAAATTGGCTTTGAAGAAATAAATGATATTTTGAGGCGAAAACAAAAATTAAAGCTTACCCTAAATAATTACATTCAATTAATTGAATGTGTTGATTATTTCAACGAAATTTTTGGGTACATCTTATTATGCAAAATCTTATTTTTCATCATTAACTTATTAATATCGTTCCAATCGATTTTAACAGCAAGAAATGAAAGAATCTGCATTATTTTAAATTGTATACAAATCTGTTTCATTTTGGTAAGTAAAGATTTTTTTAATTACAATGTAAAATAATTAATATTTAATTTTTTAGTGGGGGTTAATTTCTTTAATTTCAATCGCAAGCTCAACATCGAAAGTAGCAATGTGGTCCTCGTTTTTAATCCAAAATTTAATTTATTCTTCTCCTTTAATTGAATCAAGATTAAATTTGGAGGTTTTCTTGAAACAAACAACGATTAGGAATCCCGTTTTCTCGGCGGGGGGATTTTTCGATATCAATTTCGCTTTGTTAAATCATTTGTTGCAATCTTGCGCTTCTTATATCGTCGTAATCGTTCAATTTAGTGATTTTTAAAATAATAATTGATGTATGATAGATAGTATTAATTTATAAAAGGAGCTAAAAGAACCTTTTATTAATATTAATAGTGACCAAATAAAAAACATCTTGACAAAAAGTCAAGAAAGTAAGAAAATACAAGACCACTTTTTTATAATTTTAGAAATTCATAGATCCTTTTTGACATCTATAAGTGTTTAGAAAGCGTTTAGACACTTTTCGATCATTTTAGAAATTCATAGGAAAAATTTTCAGTGGTGAACGTTTTTATTATATTGGCTACCTTGCATATTGACGTTCGTTTTTCGATTTGACAGATGACGTTTACGTTAAATACCTAACCTTGATTTCCATTTCGCTCGCTGCATTCCGAAGGTGGTTCTGGTTATTTCTAGTGCGCTGATTAAATACTAGTTAAGTAATCTAAGCCCCGCGGTAAGTGATAGATTTAATTTCAAACAATAAGAAAGAAATTTAGTCGCCCATAAAAGGTATCTCAAAGAGCCGGGTTTACCGGCTCTTAAAATGAATAATCCAATCGTGGATCCGCCATCAGTAACAGATGGCGGATCACAACCATCGGAGCAAATGTTTGGTTCACCAATTCAATTAAGTCCCCCCGATAAAATTAATGAAAATTCACACAACAATGATAATAACAGATATTGTTGTATGGATTTACCCCCATATGTAGTATATGTGGAATCCTTGGATAAGAGTATTGGAAACTTGCATGATATGCAAGTAGGCAAAAAACTGTTTGAAAGCGGTTTAAGAGGAATCTTGAGAGTGGACAAAAGAGGGAGAAACAGGATTGAGGCTGAGTTTAACAATTATAACAATGCTAATGAATTTTTATCATGTTTTTTAGTCAAAAAAGAAAACTGGAGGGCATTCATCCCCTCACACAGAGTAACATGCAAAGGAATTATTCGGGGTGTCGATACCTCATTATCAGAAGAAACAATTTTAAAATTAATAAAAACGGAAAATAGACGTGAAGTTTTACATATCAGAAGATTAAAAAGAAAAACAACCAATGAACAAGGAGAAATAATATTTGTAACAACAGGAACTATTGTCGCTACGTTTGCAGGTACTACATTACCTAGACACGTATCAATTTGGTATAGCCATCGTATTCCGGAAGTGTACATTTCCCCTGTCATACAATGTTTTAATTGTTTAAGATATGGACATACAAAAACGTTGTGCAAGTCGCAGAAGAGATGTTCTAGGTGTTCTGATCATCACGATTTACATATGTGTCAAAGCGACATCATAAAATGTATTCATTGTGGACAACCACACCTTTCTACTGAGGCTGGTACTCCGTTAGCAAACAGAGTGTGCCCAGAATACTTACGCCAAAAGAAAATAAAAGAAATTATGGCCACTCATAATTACTCGGCTTATGAAGCTAATCTACTAATAAAGAACCCTGAACAAGTGCAGCTAGAGAAAAACATTAGAAATATATACCACACTGATTTTCCTCCTCTAAAGAAAGATGACGTTATACAGAGGACAATCAATTTTGCTGCTAGCACAGCGCCTCGAAGACAAGTGGTGGACTACTCTGATATAGTCAAAAAACAAACACAACAAAAAATCACTGGAACTACTCCAAAAAACTCAACAATGACCTCACCAACGATGGGATATAAAAGTCAAGAGAGCTCTAAACGAAAGTTTCCTGCCTCCCCAGAAGAAAAAACTCACAACAAAATAAAAAATCCACACAAAAAGCCACCTGGTAATATGTCTACACGAGGTGTAGCATTTACAAAAGAAATCAGAACTCCACTTACCTTTACAAAAGAATCTCAAGACCCAATATCAGAGTCAGAAGGTGAAGAAACATTTACAAATTTAAATAATTTAGTAATGCAAGACAGAAGAAGACAAAGAGTATTTCTAGAAGAAGAAATTCCTATCGATGAGGACATTACTTTGGAATTCGAGGGGTCTTGCCAAGAATAAAGGTAGTATTTTTAACTTTATAAGCATGCATGAACAGGATGTAGTGATAATTACTGAAACTTGGATGAAGCAAAAATATATTATATCCACACCTCAATATAGTCATTTATACATATGTAGAGATGACGGATATGGAGGCTTATCTATTTTAATAAATAAAAAAATAAACTTCACATATTATGATAACGTTTCATGTTCGGTGGATAGAGCACACTTTTTATGCATTTCCATAAATAACATCACTATTCTCGCCGGATACATCCCCCCAGACGTTCGCTTCGGCTCAGAAGAATGGGAAGACGTGCTTAGAGAGATTCCGCATCATTCAAATTTCGTGCTAATGGGTGATTTTAACGCACACTTGCCCGCATGGAGTAGCGCACATTTGATAAACCAAAGGGGTAGAGCTTTACAGGCAATTATAAATAAGTATAATCTGTGCGTCATCAACGATGGCAAATCCACTTTACTGTCCCCCAACAACAATGTTAGCGTTATTGATCTTATGATATGCTCTCCAGATATTGCAACATCAGCTGTCTGCCTAACAACAGACGACACGCTAGGGAGCGATCATTTCCCTGTCACCACACATTTCGCCGTTAATTTAGTAACTAAACGAAGACAAAAATACAATCGCCGTCTCACAAGGGAAACACATGATTGGAAAATGTATGGTGGACATGTACAGAGATGTTTAAGCATGGGACTGGGAAATACACTGGAGGATTTGGCAAATGTTATGCAGGAGGCTAAGCAAGTGTCATCCCCATTAAAATATCAGAACACAGATAATGAACATCTTTGCCCATGGTGGGATNACAATCAATTTTGCTGCTAGCACAGCGCCTCGAAGACAAGTGGTGGACTACTCTGATATAGTCAAAAAACAAACACAACAAAAAATCACTGGAACTACTCCAAAAAAACTCAACAATGACCTCACCAACGATGGGATATAAAAGTCAAGAGAGTTCTAAACGAAAGTTTCCTGCCTCCCCAGAAGAAAAAACTCACAACAAAATAAAAAATCCACACAAAAAGCCACCTGGTAATATGTCTACACGAGGAGTAGCATTTACAAAAGAAATCAGAACACCACTTACCTTTACAAAAGAATCTCAAGACCCAATATCAGAGTCAGAAGGTGAAGAAACATTTACAAATTTAAATAATTTAGTAATGCAAGACAGAAGAAGACAAAGAGTATTTCTAGAAGAAGAAATTCCTATCGATGAGGACATTACTTTGGAATTCGAGGGGTCTTGCCAAGAATAAAGGTAGTATTTTTAACTTTATAAGCATGCATGAACAGGACGTAGTGATAATTACTGAAACTTGGATGAAGCAAAAATATATTATATCCACACCTCAATATAGTCATTTATACATATGTAGAGATGACGGATATGGAGGTTTATCTATTTTAATAAATAAAAAAATAAACTTCACATATTATGATAACGTTTCATGTTCGGTGGATAGAGCACACTTTTTATGCATTTCCATAAATAATATCACTATTCTCGCCGGATACATCCCCCCAGACGTTCATTTCGGCTCAGAAGAATGGGAAGACGTGCTTAGAGAGATTCCGCATCATTCAAATTTCGTGCTAATGGGTGATATTAACGCGCACTTGCCCGCATGGAGTAGCGCACATTTGATAAACCAAAGGGGTAGAGCTTTACAGGCAATTATAAATAAGTATAATCTGTGCGTCATCAACGATGGCAAATCCACTTTACTGTCCCCCAACAACAATGTTAGCGTTATTGATCTTATGATATGCTCTCCAGATATTGCAACATCAGCTGTCTGCCTAACAACAGACGACACGCTAGGGAGCGATCATTTCCCTGTCACCACACATTTCGCCGTTAATTTAGTAACTAAACGAAGACAAAAATACAATCGCCGTCTCACAAGGGAAACACATGATTGGAAAATGTATGGTGGACATGTACAGAGATGTTTAAGCATGGGACTGGGAAATACACTGGAGGATTTGGCAAATGTTATGCAGGAGGCTAAGCAAGTGTCATCCCCATTAAAATATCAGAACACAGATAATGAACATCTTTGCCCATGGTGGGATATGGAATGCGACAGAGTGGTAAACTTAAGAAGATTTCTGATAAAGGAATTCTCGAATAACAAAACGGAAGTAAATTATATTATTGCCAAAAGGTATATTGCAAAGGCTAAAAAATTGTTACTAGGCAAAAAACGTGAACACTTCAGAAGATTCTGCTGTTCTATTAATAGAGATACCCCTCTTAGTCAAATATGGGGAAAAATCAGGTCTCTAACAAATCAGCTGCAAGGATGTTCAAATGATACGTCTATTCAAACAAACTGGCATACGTTTTTTTTGAATAGCGTGTGTCCAGTGTATGTTCCTCAGAGCAGGGAGATCAATTTGTCATGGAGTATAAACAAAAATGATAATGTAACCCCCTTTACAGATCACATAGGTATGTCCGAGATGTTAAAGGCTTTATCGTTCGTCAGGAATTCTTCTCCGGGGAGCGACAAAATTACTTACCCAATGCTAAGATCCTTGCCTGCCACAGCAAAACAGCAGATTTTGCGGGAATTTAACATCATACTAAATGGCGGTGATATCCCTAAAACATGGTACCACATCAATATAGTGCCCATACCCAAGCAGGGGGGAGATAGAAGACTGGCCACGGGTTATAGACCGATATCATTATTATCATGTTTCAGAAAATTGTTTGAAAAAATTATCGCAAATAGGTTGGAATGGTTTATCGAGAGGGGTATGCTGTTTGATCATCTTCTATTTGGCTTTAGAAAGGGAAAGGGAATCGCTCACTGTATATCATATTTCACAACCTCGGTGCAGATGGCAATGACCAGGAGAATACCATTAATAGCTGTATTTCTTGATTTAAAAGCAGCTTACGATAACGTCTCGATTCCGGTACTAGTAGAAATTTTGTCGCAACACGGAGTGCCATCCAAGATCATAAGTGTTATATTTTCATTATTTCAATGGAAGAAGATGAAACTTAAAGATGACCCTGATGGAGTAGGATCTAGGATAAGCTACCGTGGACTTCCTCAAGGCAGCCCATTAAGCCCATTGTTGTTCAACTTGTATATTAATGGATTAAATAAAGAAATAATGGGAACTGGATGCACTGCAGTGTCTTATGCAGATGACATCGTAATATTTACGTCGGATAGCACCATAGAGAGATGCGCGAAGGCGCTCAATGAGGCTTTGGAGACTATTTTTACATTTTTGGAAGGGAGGGTTCTGGAGGTATCAATTCCAAAAACTAAGGCCATAATATTTAGCAGGAAGAGGAAATTGAACTACCCAAATATATACATAGGAGGTGAAATGATATCATACACGAACTCTATAAGGTACCTCGGGGTACGGTTTAACACAAAACTGAGTTGGAAAGAACAAATTAGAGTATCGACGGGCGCTGCCACGAAGGCAATGGATATCTTAAAGGCAATTTCATCGACCAAGTGGGGTGGAGACCCTGTAATTCTGAGAATACTTTACCGCGCACTAGTTAGATCTAGGCTAGAATTTATGTTACACAGCATGATGCCAGTTCCTCAAACATCGTTCGCGCTCTTGGAAAGAACGGCATACCGGGGTCTTCGGTGCATTTTGGGCTTGCCAATTACTACTCCTACAAATGTGTTAGAAGTGGAAGCTAATGAACGTCCACTCAAGTTAACAATAAAACTAAGGGCAAAAAAATTTATAATCAAAAACTTACAACAGACAAATAGTCCAATAATAATGCTGCTTAAAAGATTAAATTTAGAAATGGAAAATCGTCAAATCCCGACGATACGTACACCACTCGCGATACAAATCCTCAGAGAACTTAAGAAAGACAAATTCAATCTTAAACAAGACGTAAGACATAGCAGCTTTACAGTCCCATATGAAGTATCTTTCGAAGCATTTGGACTGATCTTTGATATTCCGATTTACAGGAACATTATAAGGGGTATCACGATGATGGGAGCCAATAGCATTTTTATGGAATATGTGAGAGACAGATGGAAGGACTTCGCATTTTTCTTTACAGACGGTTCCCTTGTACACGAACCCAGAGCGGTTGGATGTGGTGTTTACTCTCCCACCCATGATACACAGCTATCGATAGGACTACCAGCCTGCATGTCCATTTTTGCAGCTGAAATACTGGCAATTGGCGAAGCTCTCAATATAGTAATACGTCAAAAGCTTGAGAAGACTATTGTATTTACTGATTCCTTAAGTACGCTACAGGCACTTAGAAACTTTAGACCAGGAAGATCGGTGCACTATTTACTCGCATCAGTTATGAGGAAATTGAGTTTAATTGGGAAGGAGAGACAGGAAGTGAAGTTGTGTTGGGTACCATCTCATTGCGGAATTCATGGCAATGAGACAGCAGATCATTTGGCCCGTGAAGGTCTAAAATTATCTCCGCGGCAGGTGTGTATTGATGTCATGGACACATATCCTTATTTCACAGATTCAATTAACAAGGAATGGGCGATAGATTGGCGTGAAACAACATTATTTAAAGGAAGATGGTATGCCAAGTTAAGGCCAAACATTGGAAAACCTGCTTGGTTTGAGGAAATTCCCTACGTTTCGAGATACTTCTGTACGTTGATTAACAGGATAAGAACCGGACAGGCTGCAACTGAAGCGTACTTGCACAAAATTGGACAAAGAGATAGTCCAGACTGTGATTGTGGAACTCGGGGGGACATCAACCACTATATACTTGACTGTCCACTTTACGAAGATACAAGATCTGATTTAAGACTCAAACTACTACAACACAACTTGCAGGAAACCAAAGACATTAGAGATATATTGAAAACCAAAAATGTCGATATTTACAAGAGTATATATTATTTTATTGTTAAGACTGAAAAGTTTATTTAATCAAGGTTCTAGATAGGGAAGTTAAAACGTACTTGCATTTTGAATTTTATTTGATTACTTATTTAATTTTTTGTGTTCATTCTTTTCTTGTGTTCCAGGAATAATACCTAACATTCCTGTCCGAGGGGCATCCTAAAGACCTATGTGAAATGAGTCTCAGCCCTCAGACTCGAGAAGAGTTTATGTGTACGTTTCCTTTTTTCCTTTATTTGAATGGCATGAGTTGCATGGCTTTTGTTTTATTTGCACTTTATAATCATTGCTACATTTAAAATGCTTTGATTCAATAGCTGCTTGATAGATATGTAGTATATTGCAATCTTTTTTGTATTTATGTATAGAGAATTCAGGCGCGGGGCTTTTGTTTTCTTTTTTGTTGGCTGCTTTTTGGTGTAGTAAATAGGATCAGCGCACTAGAATAATAATACGAAATCTAAACGCAGTGACTGGGAGGTAATAAGGACAAGTATCCAAATCCCATTGCCAAGCCTTATCATTGTGAAGAGGAAGGAAGGAATATATTAATAAATGATTATATTAGATTTGAGGTTGTTTTAATGGGAAAATAACAACGAAATAAAAGCATTCAAATTAACGGCCATTAAGCACTAAATTATTCATAACCCACTAAAAGAACCCATCAACTTTACTATTCAAGTAGATCT